ATGTATTGTTTGTTTAATTTTTAATTTTAATTAATTATTTTAAATAAAAAGTTTTACTTTTTTACGATATTATGACACAGTTAATTAGGTACCTACTTTTGATTATCATGATGATACACATGAATATTATTGCATATTACATATTATCATTCTGCGTAGGTGTAAATTTAAATTAAGTACAGTTGACAATGTTATAATAACGATTGTTTAGTTTTAGTAGGTAGGTGCCTACTTATATATCATTGATGCCTATCATAACGATAACGCGATATTACTTTTCATGTAATGAAAATAGATAAATCAAACGTTTAATCTAATCCTCGTGTTATATAATAAATATCATAATATGTAATATATACCGTGTAGGTAATAAATCGTTATCTTTCATTGTGTTAAAGTTTCTAATGCTAAACTAACGGCGGACGTCTCATATTTTTTTATCCAATGTTCATCATTGGGTATTTAATTTCTCTGAAGTGAAAATTTATAAAATTTTAATTTCACCCATGAGACGCTGCAGTTCAATAATATAGTGGAAATCAAAGTACCTATTCGAATCCGTGCAACTGACAATAATATTATTGTAATAATTTATGAGTAGGTATTAAGCACAAATGTTTCGTTATATCTAGCTCATAAGCAATAATGGACATCTGAAAATTATTATAATCGGTAATTTGTTTATTTTGTTCTATTAAAAGGATATTTAATACCAATTTAATGCCTACAAGTTGCCTATAAATGCCTCAGACTACCTATATAATATAAGCTATGATGTTATGGTCTGCACTAATCTAATCGTTATTAATTTTTCGAGTTTTATATAATACTCGTGAACAATGACTAAACGGTGGTTCGTGTAATGAATAATTCGAAAAATTAGTCACCGTTTTAACATTAAAATTTTACTGACTAGTTGGTGTAACGTTATAAACATATTATAAGACATTAATTATTTATTTAACTTAAACATAATTTTAATAGGTTAGTCTTATTATTATGTGAGTTGGTTGTAAATAGTAATAGTATTAAAATACGTTTATATACATTTAGATACTTTCATTAATGGCCAAGCATTTTAGGTATACCTACCTCAACCAATTTACGAATGGAAATGATAAATATTATTTTAGCTCAAAATTTTGTATTGTCATTAAAAATCCATTGAAAAATAAAATATGTAATTACACAATATGTACTTATAATGTCAACAAATCAACGGTATTTTGAACAACAAAATTGCTCAACGCCCAAACCGCTCTATTCTGAATAAAATGTAAACGTAAAAACTTACGGGTGACTTAATAAGTTTATAATATTCGTATTGTTATAAAAGTTATGTAATTTGGCGTGGTATAAGTGAAATACCATAATGGTATTTTCCAATGAGCTTATAAGTAATATTACCACATTTTAAACGGCCATTAATTGTATTTTTGATTTTAAAATAGTTTTTCCATAATAATATATTATGTTATTATAGGACAATTTTCTATATATATTATATTAAAATTTAAAATGGGAACATTGTAAAGGTGATAAATGTGATTAGACGTTTTATAATCAAAATATTTTCGAACTTGGATGGGTACCTAGCTATAGAATTAAAATACACGCATTTATAACTAAGTATTTCAGATACTGTTACAATACCTATACTTAGTGTGGATCAGTGGCGTGGCAAACTTCATTATGTTATAAGGCACAGTTATATTGTCAGACCAACCACTCACTCCACCCATCACAAAAAACATTAAAAAAATTTTTTAAGATGAAATATATTTAATCATAATAATGCTTTTTTAACACATCAGATGATCTTTGAGGACACCCACCACCCCTCAAACTGAGGCACGTGCTTCAAATATAGTCCTTCGTCACGCCACTGGTGTAGATAATATTCAGTAATACGTAATATTGCATAACAAATAAATATTGTTATGTAGATCGCCATCCGGATGAGATAGGTAGGTACGACCAGCCATAATATTCGCCGCATTCGTGTTAAGACCCTCGGGGCAGTGCCGGAGTGCCGCAACCGCAACCATAATATTACTCGTATTTCTATAGACTCAATGATTATAATTATTGACCGGTGCGTCATAACTCAATTTAGCCTTTTCCTGTATTATTTTCCGTCCAACAGACCATAAATCGGCGTGGGACCTTTATAATATTTTTTCGCGCGACAGTTTTACTATATGCGTGATAGGTAGTAAATATATAAAACGGCGTTGTCTATCTCTGGTATATCTGCGTTGTATATTGTATATACATACTTGTATCAGTGAGGCAGTGACAAATTAACACCAAACGGGAGTTGAATATTTTAGACATGATACCAAGAGTTATATCGAGTACAATGATTATTATTTTTTAACGGATATCGAAATAAAATGATATAATTATGTAATATATTAATTTACAATGTACTCTATCGATTACCTGTGGTAGCAATATACACATATGATGAAACGAGGCGATTTGTGCATACGTATGTGTAGCAGGTCGAATAATAAATTCATTATTATTACCTATGCATTTTTAAATTTTGTAAAGTAATCACAAATAGTTTTATCCATACTGTATATAGCGTGGGACTCTGCAATATTACAAACCGAACGCGCAAGGTGACACATATGTAAGTCTGCAGGGATTATCTACATAAAAATTAATGTTTGTTTGTTTGTTTGTTCCCGATAGACTCAATAACTACTGGACTGTTTTCAATAAAAATTATATCGATATACATAGGTTCCTTGAGACTCGGAGGATGTTTATAGCTTATTGTTTCAACCCCTATATTGGTTGCTATAAGATGGCTTTAGTTATAGATGGATTTAATTTTGTATAACGACATTCAAATATTTTATTTTTTTAATTAAAAGGTTATTGAAAATTATAATTATTAATTACACCATTGTACGGTGAAACCTCTAGATACCGGACACTGGGTAGGTAAAGTTTTTCCTGTTATTCTGCAGAGGGTTCAGTTTGTTCATATAGTATTTTGTAATTTTTTCCCAAAAAACCATCCGCTATTCAGAGGTGTTCATTATTGAAGGTTTTACTGTAAATTGCGCATATTATTATATACTTATTCTATCAAAAAATCATCATAAGTATATAAAATCTGCATTGTTTAAGTATTCTTATATTTCAACAAGTTACATTTAAAACTGGTATATATTTAATTATATAACTATGTGTCTCCTCCTCTCTTCCTCAATTTTTGCATTTTGAATACGCATCATCATTTCAAATTTATATTGTTATATTTATTTCATTGTTTGTGAAAATAATAATTGTATTACTAATATAAGTACGCGTAATTATCTGCTAGAACTCGACTTTTACCGTAAAATATCGACTTCAAACAAACGATTTTTCAAMTTACAACCTATATATGTACGCCAACGGTGCGTTATAACAGAATGATTTAATATTCTATATTATAATAAATTATATTATTATAGAGAATGTTTCATCGTCACACAAGACCTAAAATCGTAGGTTTTGTACGGCACTATGACAGCAAGAACTATCCAAATTATTACAATAATTTCCTAAGTCCATCGTGATAGTATATTTTTAAATTATACCATCTTGGACTGCGTCATCGGGCCTAATGATATTTCTATAATATAATAATATTATTATATTATCGTCTGCAGCAGACAAATTCGGTCGCTCACATAATATCAATTCAGCTGCAGCGACTTGGTGCAACGTGTAAATTATATTTTTGATATTTATTGTGGTGAAGTTGAACAATGCGTATAAGAGGTTCACTATACTCATGTGTAAAATAAAAACGACGAAAACAATGTATCTTATTGATGCGGACAAAAGACTGCGAGCAACAATAAATCGACGTTAAATGAACTTTAAAATGTTCGAACCCGTTACTGGGTCTAAACGTCATCCCGCGGGCAATCGGTATTATTCACCTATAACATACTGCCTGTAAGATATTATATTATATTATTATAGTCATTAGGTATGTGTATGAGCCCAGCACAGTACAATAAAAATAATAATCAAAGGTGCGGTAAATAATAAGCGATGATGCGTTTTCGCCTGATACATTATGATATTATTATTTAGTATTATTAGGTATATATTATTCTAATATTATTTTGTTTCAGAGATCAGTTATATATGAGTGGAGTCAGTGGAGATTTTAACAAATATTAATTGGAAGACTTAATGCTTAAATATTTGATAATAGGGCTCCATGTCCAAAACAATTTACCTGATAATCATATTATTGATAAATAACAGTTCCTAATGGATACAATTTGGATTTTGTTTATAAAGACTGTATATCGATATATCGATGTGTAACGTATACCTAAAATTATACAGCATTTGAGATTATTTAAAAATAGATATATTTATATAGCCAAATCAGCAAAAAACTAAAATTGACAAACATTTTTTAGCTTATGTTTCTTTTGGTGGAAACAGGAATCGTATATCTTGAGGGGAAACAGTCAATATTATTCTTTCAATTTTCAGGTTTATGTGTCACGAAAAGATTACCTATTATATACTATCGTGATCTAATGATGGTCAAAGGATATATATATAATATACAACGTTTTATCTAACTACCGGTTTCGGTCGTACAATATATCAATTAATCTGTACGGCATCGCATTACAAACGTTCGACATTTATATATAAGTAAGTAGGTATATACACATCTAATGTCCGTGTTGCGCAAACAACTTCAGACACGTATTGCGACTGTTACGCGACTCGGAGGAGGTGCTCTATCTAAATGTGGCTCAGGAGAGATTCGCTGGATCTACAGGAGATTCGGCAGTAGTAGTACCCGTACACAATAAATGACGTACCCACGACATCGATGACGATGACGACGATGATATTGCGGTTGCGATGTCGACGATGTGTGCGAGAGAGGCGCGGATTCGGCCCCGAGACTACGCGGCGGCGGCGGGGGAAAGTTATAAAACCCACTCTGCACCCGCTCGGCCGGTCAGTGTACGCCACTGAATAAGACGATCGTTTAAGGACCATTCGCGGACCTCTTGCCGCAGTGTCTTCCACAGTGCTGCAACGCGCGTATTATTTGCTCCAGAGTTGGTTGGTTTTTAAAAATTATTTTTTCTTTTTGATTTTTTGACACAGTTTTAAAGACAAAAATAATTTTACAGCGTTTTCACTCGAAGCGAATAAGTATATACTATTTAACGAGCTACACGGTGCCGCCGACACGATGAAGTACACGACCTACCTCTTGGTGAGTAAACCCATCTTATAATATAAGAATAACATAACATATGTGTGTTTTATCATCAACTGAAAATCGTTTCGGCATCATACAAACTATAATAATATTTTTATCAGTTACTTTTTTTGAGTAGAGTGTATCACCAATATATTAAAAATAAACGATCAGTTATTATTTCAATTTTTACATCGGTTAAACTCTATTACAATATTTTGACGCACGTCTTTGTAAAATATATAAATATTTTTTTCTGAAAGAAACGAACACGTCTGTGTTGAACATTGGTATTTTAATTTCACATTAAATCACTTTATTGTACCTATGAGATGCAACTTTCCTTCCAATGGGATTACGGATGCATGACGACGTATGATATTATATCTGCTTACTACTTTTTTCGGGTGATTTGGTATTCTGTATACGTCATACTTCTCGGTGTAATGCTTTTTCTCAACTCTATTCTCAAGCGATGTTATCGTATCCAGTGTAAATATTATACACGTTATATTTAACTTGTCACTCGGTATACGTTTTGGTGTAGTTGTACGGATGATAAGAACTTACGAGGTAGGCTGAAAGAGACACAGTAATACAGCAATAATAAAAATATATAACATTGCACCGGAGTTTACGTACGAGATAACAATAAAAACAAATGGTTTTGTTTTCGATTCGAAGCAAAGATCGATAYGACTTGCATTAGCTAGGCTATTCCTTAGACGTCATAATATTATCTTATACTGACATGTAAGACCTTGATACATCATCATCCACGTGTATCGCGTTCCATGGGTTCAGATTACCCTGCCAGGTTGTCAATTAGGTACATAATATTATCTGACCAGATAGTTACTCAGCATGTTCCTTTCATGCCGTTTATCTTCGAAGCAAAGAATAATAATAATACCATCGTTACAAACCTTGAGATGAAAACGAAAATCTATTTTATTTTTATTATTTTCCCAACCGCGGAGAAATACAAGTACGTGCTTTATTATACACACACGATCGTATGTTTATTATGATTATTATTATTATAAAATATTTTTTTTCGAATACTCGTCGACAGCCCATTTTAAATTGTTCGGGGGTCATTGCGCAATTACCGACCTAGACACCCGTAGGTACAATAATATAATAACGTTATAGTATTACGCGGAACTCTATAATAATAATAATATACATGTATATTGTACAATAACATAATAACATATAGATGTATTTAGCATTCCTTTTTTTTCGAAATTTATTTTATAATATCTCAACTCATAATAAATAATAATGATTTCGGAGTAGTAGTGCGCCTATTCTGTGCAGTTATGGGTATACCGCTTCTATACCTATCCAGCGGGGGGAGGGGAATTATTGAATAATGTATAACACAATTATTTTTTCGAAAATCGAATTAACATAATATCGAACGTTTAATTGTCGACGGACCGGAACACAATAATAATAAGTACAGTGCATAAAGTGTGTGCAACTTTCACTAATCGTTATCTAGGCTTATATTATGTTGTTTTTTTTTTCATTTTACGTTTGCTACTATCTACGTTCGTCATCTCGCACATATAAGAAACACATAGAGTTATACAACACCATCGATAATAATAATAATAACGATAGCGGTAATTGTAATACGATAACAATAATTATTATTATATTACAAAACAACGGTCCGTGACGTTACTGGCGCTACTCTGTCAAGCGGTCGACGGAAACGTCTTTGTGACTATCCGTTTTTTTTACATGCATTAGAGATGCATATTGTATTATTTTTTTTTACCAGTAAAATTTTACTATTGTAAATACAATATACATATATAGTTAATTTTTCCGACTTTTTCATACCACTCTAAACAGTGTTACGTAGTTACGTTACCAATTTAAAATTAAAATATTTTAATCGATTATGGCTTATAAAGTTATAACAATCGAAAATGAACTATATAGCCCGAAAATCGTTCGATGTTCAATGCACTTTTATAAAGATTAATTTCTTCTGTAATAATTACCATCATACGTATTATTATTGCACCCTTCCACAATATTACTAATATTTGTTATTTGTGATAAAGGTATATTTCGGACATTCCGATGACAGTTTTTACCTTTTCTGTTCTTATATTGTTATACACCGAGGAAATAGTAAGACGAGTTATAACACGTCAATAGCCACAGCTAATCCACCGCATTTGTTTACCAATATACTGCGATTTATTTTTACGCAAATATACTACAATATACGCATGTATAATACGTGTGAGGGATTTTCGTGAAACCGATTTCGTCATAATACCGTCCGATCGTTTGACCTGTGGCCCTCAGCGTATTTCTCAAAATACACAAGTCTGACACCTATGTACACATTATAATAGATCGTGACATCTATAATACCGTATATACGGCGTCCTTGACGTTTCGCGTACACGGGTCACACGCGGTTCACCGTGGGAATAATGTTCTCGTGGTTCGAACCGCCACCGTTGGTTTTCCGACACATATAATATAATATTGTGTTAGTACTCGCGTTATATATATATATATAAATGACGTGATTTATAGCCTGCGAGCGTTATTATTATTATTACTATTACAAGTAGGTTTTTTTTTATTTACGTCCTCTCGGGAGACGTTGCGACACGAATATAATAATAATATCATTATTGCAGCGAGCTGCAGTGGTCCTCACATCTGTGATGGTCGCGGACGTGAAAAGACTTGTAAGTCATACCCTTGACTAATTCAAAAATAAAGTAAACGAAAACTCGCGTTCGACATTGGTCGCACCGGGAACTATATAGGCAGACGATTATAATCAAGACTTATAATATATGATATTATTAAGTTATTATCGTAAGACCTCGCCGTAAAACTTTTTATGTTTAGTTAATTTTGATCGTATTTTTGCGTATCTGACGAAATACGGTTGTATATCATTGAAATTCGAAAAAATGTCAGACGTGTTTTTTAGGGTGGAGGGGGTGGACTGTATACCTATGAAATATTACGTTATAAATATTTTATAACCATGCTTTTGACTACTCGCCCCTTGGCATCCATTTATTAACTTTACACACAGTTCTTAAATTCCAAAAATTCTTGCGCTATAAACAATTTAAATACTATCTCTAGCTCGGAAACCAGATCAAAGTAAGTAAATGGCCACCTAAAGAGGTACTAAATTCTCTTAGAGAGTAAAATACATAATAAATCCGTCTTTTCTATAGAAATAAAAAAATCGTCCCGTGTTACGTATCTCATATTATTACAATAAAAATATGCGTTATTCCTATCATCGTATTGATTTTTAATCGATTGGAAAATATTCTGTTTCTAAAATAATAACGTTGTTCTTTGGTGTTCGCAGGCCGCGTTATTATTGGTAACGCTGTGGTCAACAGATGTAGACAGCAGACGAGTGAACCTGAAACCGGCGGCTSCTGACGAAGGTGAACAAGAAGACGCGCAGGCCTCTGCCGACGATGAGGTGCGCCAGCAACAGTTCAAGCCAGTGTTGATCGCACGCAGGCCTTTGCAACAAAGGCCACAGACGGATGTCGAAACCGAACGGCAACCAGTGGTTGTGATCAGACAATCTCCCAGGGTGTTGCAGCAGCGAGCCCGCGAACAGCAACAAGAAGCTGCCGCCGATGAAGAAGACGAACAGCCGGAGGTGATCATCAGACAGCAGCCAACGAGAGCAGGTCCGAGGTCACAGTCACCACAGGCCCAGCATATCGTCCAGCAGCGACTCAAGCAACAGGAACAGCCGCAGCAGCAAAAGGAACCGACCGCGCAGACCATCCGAAACTTCAACAAACTGAACGATGACGGTTCGTTCACGTTCGGTTACGAGGCTGACGATGGTAGCTTTAAAGAGGAGACCAGRGGAACGGACTGTGTGGTCAGGGGCAAGTACGGTTACGTAGACCCGGACGGTAACAAACGGGAGTTCACGTACGTGCAAGGCAACCCGTGCGACCCGAACGCGGTTGCGGCGGAAGAAGACGATGACCAACCAGGSAAACCGGGTGAAGAGGAGAACGTTCCCTCCAACAATCCCGTGAACGCTGGCAAGCCCAAGCCCAAGAAGAACCGTCCGACCACCACACTGTTCCAGCAGACGTTCGGCGATTTCGAACCACAGCCGCAATCACAGCCGTCCACGACTCCACGCCCACCGGGTAGACAGCAGCTACAGCCGATGTTCCAGGAAAGTCCCAGAAGACCACCCCCACAGATATTGTCACCAACCACGGCAGCGCCGCCACCATCACCACAATTCCTATCAGCCGCCGGAAACTTGGAGTCGGCCATCCGAAACTTGCCGCAACCATCATCGCCATCGGGCAAGGTGCAGCTTCAATCGCCCGCCGGGCCCAACTCTCCACTGTACACGACCGAACTGGTTTTCGACCCGGCCACCGGTCAATACAACACGGTAATATTCCAACAGGTACCCAAACAGGAGGCCGCCATCAACATCAACCAGCGTCTGCCCTTGCAGGGAGCAACGGCTCCGACTAGACAACAGCCCCTACTGCAACAGCAGTTCCGACCCCAAGCCCCACCACAATTCCAACAACCACAACCACAATTCCGACCGGCGATCCAACCGTTCCAGTCGCCGTTCCAGCCTCAGAGACCGGTCGAATTTGACTTCCAGCGGCCTTCCGCAGGATTCCCTGGAGCTCCGGGRCCACAACAGCAATTGGTGCAGCAGCAGCAAGCCACGGCTTTCCAACAGTCCCAAAACCTATTCAGACAACAGCARCAGAAACAGCAACAGCAACAGCAATCGTTCCAACCGCAATCATCGCMGCAGTTCTTCCCTCCGCCATCACAGCGTTTTGAACCGGCGTCGCAGTTCRCGCCAAAACAGCCACAGCGATTCGAACAGCAACCGGAWGCGCACCAACAGCAATTCGTRCTCGTCCAACCTGGCCGAACACCCGGACAACAAAGCTTGGCCGYCGGCCAGATCGACGCGTTTCTAAGAGGCCATAACGTGCAATTCTAGACGGAATAATTCAATAATATTTCCATTTGTAAATAACATATTAATAATAATAATAGTATAGACATTGCGTACAGCGACTCATACTATACATTTTCGCTATACGCCATTCATTATATAGGTGTGATAACTATATAATATACATACATTATACATAATATTATATTTTGTATATTTTAAGTAATATTAATGATAAAAATAATTTTTTTTTTAAACTAAATTAATRATGTGCAACACGTTATAAAGGTATAATATACATATATACATATGTAATTATAATATTTTTTCTATGAATTTTTTACGTAGAAACTATATAAATATATGTATATATTTATAGTCACACCCGTTTGACCAAGAGGTTTCACCTGACGGAGGTGAAAGCCATATATAACTTACTGTATGTTTAGCACTTTGCTAAATGCTAGTTTTTATAATTTTTTTTTTTTTTTGTAACATTAAATACTCGTAAACTATTATTATATATTTTAATGTTCCAAAAAACAATATGTGCTCAAAATATACCAACTCCCAATGTTTGTAAATAAATAAACTTTATATATTACCTACATGTTGTGTTATTATTATGTATAATTATATTTTTAATAATTATTATAAGTTGTCCAAGAAAAAAACGACAGTTTGTTTTCACTTTCCGTTATTATAATATATACCTACTACATAATATTATACAAAAATATATGTATCACTTTCCTGTACATATGTGTATCACTTCCGCACCGAACCCGGTTTGCTCTATATCATGATGTAACCGGCGTGGTTTCTTCACGTCTTTAATTATTGATATCTGACCCAAATCGTAGCTGCATTCCATAAGAAATGCTATAACAGACGAAAATGAGTTCGGACACAACTGCAGGCGTGGTGGCCGTAGGTCGCAGTAACTTATTGCAACAATACCCATTGGGCATCGGGTAAGAACTAAAATAATGTTATTAATTATTATTTTAACATTATTATGACACAATAACCCGTAGGCTCCTCCTACACGGTAAAAGCATTAGACAAGTTTGATATTTTACTTTTTTCAATTTTTTTTTTTTTTTACCGATAAATACCCGGCCTTACGGTGCCTTCTAAACAGAACAAAGATGTCATGATTATAGAATAAATAATAATAATAAGACGACTTGTGATGGTGTGAAGGTTAAAGAAAAAAATAATACACCTAACATGGCTAGCACATTATGACAGTCATGAATATGGCTATCAATTTATATAATAATGATAATAATAATATTATTATTATATATCTACCATACGCCTACCATATATGTAGGTATTACGTTCGTCTGGTCGTGWGCTGTTGAACGGAGTTACTCAGCCGGAGCAATAAAATAACAATGAAAGCAAAGCTATTGGAATAAGAGTATGTACTGACACGCTTTGCTTCTTGGCTATAATGAAATGGCCGTCACCATGAATATGATGGTGAACGTGGGCTGCAATATTAAATGTAAAAACAAATCCATTATTACAGCTGATACCGCATCAATTGATTTATATTTTTATTTCACGTAGGTAAGAGAGATTTTTAGTGGGTGAATAGAAATATTATTTTAAATTAGAAAATTTAAGTTTTGCACAATATTAAATTAATTATTAATGTCCATTATACATTATAATAATTTAATAATAATTTTCTGGGTGCTATCATTAGGTACAATTTTTTATAAAATTTTATTTTAAACTTTAATTATTAAGAAAATCACATTTTAAATCAAAAGTATTCCCTGACAGTAGGTAATCATTGAATGCAAATAAATAACAGTCGTAAAAAAGGAGGTAAGTCGTGGGATGTCTTTCTGTTGTACAATAGGTTACAAGTGGGTTACTGTAATGGATGGAATTATATTTGAATCCAATGATATAATATATCATTGTATACAAAAAACGATTCTGAGCGGAGACGGTTTTTTATATTGATTATTAAAAATTTTTAAATCTTAGATATAAAAGGAAAAATTTCTATGAATTTCTAACTTAAAAGAATTTACGAATTTTCGTGATTTTTACGTATGTTGTCAAAATTCAAACTTTGAATGCTTGTAAAAAAAATTGTGATTATGTATTTATTTTATTTTTCAACTGCTATTGTAACAATATGTTAGGAGCCTTGTATTAAAATTCCAAGCTTTTCTACTAAACAAATAAATTTAAAAACTAATAATGCATATGCCTATAAATACTTCAACTTAATTCGAAATTGCATGGTGTATAGAAAATTCTTATATAACCTTTCGTTGAAAATTTCATGTATCGATGGTTAGGTTACATCAAAAACCAAAATCGATTTTGTCAAAAATTGATTGTGCGTAAAAATTCCCGTTTTTTCCTTAGTGTTTAGATTATTTATCCCAATTATTAAGAAAAATATTGGGAATTTTTATCTTTTGACTYCCCAAAGTACCAACTAGATTCACTTTCTGATCGAACGAGGTACTGAAGTCGAAAATCGAAGCATTTTTACTGCCCCAAAACATGATGACAGACACAAAAAAAAACACACACACACATCATGGTAAAATCAATACATTCCTTGCTCTGCTCAGAATCTAAAATAAATTTATTTTATATTTTCATCATAAATAATATTATTTTAATCCCTGATGAGTCGATAACAATGAAATACTAAATATGTAATGAAAAATGTTAAAACAGGATACCGAGACGTTTGAGAATTATCTCACTTAGCATGATTTCAATAAAATAGCTATACTGTTATTACCTGCTGTTTTTAAATATTTAGATATATACGTAATAAAAAYGTTCTTATTTATATAGATAAAGCAATATATATATTAAATATATAAACATCACATTGTAAACCGATTTTGAGTGAGAACTCAGTTAACGTTTATTTTATATTACTCTCATCATGTGTTCATAAAAACAAAGTACCGCAATGACACTTAGTTTTAATACTGTAGTGAACCTGGTATAGATCAATATGCGGAGAGTCCATAAAAATCCTATTTAAAATATAAAAGCGCTGTTTCCGTTTTATTATTAAAAAAATTGTGTTGATACATTTTACGTAAAAATACAAATAAAAAAACAGAATTTAAAATCGGGGACATAATACATAATATTATATCCATCCGTTTTTCGAAAGATGCAATCGTCTTATTTTATATCTATGACAACTGGTATTCCCAAATAAGTTTACAATCTCACTATCTATTCTGACGAACATGGAATAATAATATATTTGTTGAAATGTCATTTTCTATAAGCTATTTGGATGTAACATAATTTTACCATTTCTTCTATCCTAGTTCCATGTAGTACAACGCGTATGGGTATATCATAAATTCAGAACAATAAATAATGGAAATAATAGATATTGAATGTTTTTTTAACTCAAAATATAATCAAATAATACAAAAAATCAATACCTAAAAATTGTGTTTTTATATTTATTTGAGTAAAAAAAAATAAAATTAATTATTTGAACAGTAAATGTAGTAAATGGTTAATTTTTCTAAAATATATTTTATACTATTATAATAGCTTACTTATATATTTTACTAGGTAGGTATACAATATTAGTTAAATGATACTAAAAACAATAATTTAATATTTAAAAAATCCGACTTTAAAATTTTTTACATCAAATTATTGATAAATAAGTTTGATGTACGCTAAAAAAAACTAAATTTACTAGGCTCTACATATAGGTTTTTTCCAGAAATTCATTTTTTTCATGCATTCAGTTTTATTTAGTCAAAAATTTTCGATTAAAATATTAATTTAAACTTTCTAAACCATTAGGTAAGTAAGATTTTTAAAGCGTGAAAAAATTATATTTTAATAGAATTAAAATTGAACCCACATACTGTATATTACTTTGCTAAAATAACTTTACAACAATCAAACATAACTAGAATGTTGTAATATTGTTTTATATACAGACATACAGTTGATTATTTTTAACATCACATCAAACACTAATTAAATTGAAAATTTTCTAAGCATTTTTGAAATATTCATTTTGAAAATACATAATATAATAATACAATCTCCAATTATAATACATTTATTTTTATGTTGTTTATGTGGTTAGGTTATTTATGTCCTTTTTTCATATATATTTTTATTTTATTTGTTATGAAACTGCTATCAATATTTACGAAAGTGTCATCGGTGGGAGGCTTCTTCATTCAAAATTTTCAATTTTCCTTTTGTCAATTAGCTTAATATACTCTTATTGTTCCGATTGTGTACAGATTGTGTATATTATTAATAAAGAAAAAAACTATTAATATTCAAATATTATAAGATGACAACCTATAATAAGTTATTTTTATTTTTGTATAGCGCAATATTAACTATTATATTGATGTATCAGATATTAAGGAGAAGTGTTTGATAAAATGGATTAAAAGTTTACATGAGTTGTGACCCCGAATTGGAAAGATGTAACCCTTGTCACTTGTCAATATAGACTAACTTAAAAACTTTAAAATAAGAACAATATAATATATATACAAAAATATATTCAAAACAAAAACGAGAGTACGATATTTGTTATATCAAGAAAATCACCCTTCATTCTTTACATCGAGTTTTTGGTATTTACTTATTTAACTTTTTCAGCTGATGAACTTTTCATTATTATTATTATTATTATTATTATGCTTGTAAAAAAAAACTGAGATTGAGTAGAGCGACAGTGAGTGATGAGTGATTATGACGACCCCACAGCGTAATTCTGCAATTTCCTTGTCGACACAATAATTGTTATATTCTATAATTAAAAAAAAACTCTTCGCAATGTTCATAATTATAAAAATTGTTTAACAATTAAATTCGAAAATGAAAAAAGTTGTGTGATGGATGAAAACATAATTTTTGATATTACCAATTCTTTCACATCAGACACAAGCTATTTATAAGTAGGTACATGGCAAATCCCAAATTTCTAAATCAACTAAATAATATTATCATGTGCAGTTAATTGCAGCTCATCGATCGTTCCTAAATAAGTTTAATAAATGAATACAAATATTTAGATTAATTAAATAATTATTACGAATTGAATTGACGATATTATACTGACTGTTATAGTGTATGAGTATGT